GTCAGAAATTAAAAGAATTAACCTTAAAATTCCAAATATAAAAGAAAAAAGTTGAACATTTAATAATTTAAAGCGTAAACAATAAAAAGTAAAGACTAAATAGAAAAAATTAAAGAGTGGAAACTTCTAACAATGCATAAATAATCCCAATTAGACTTGACAATCAGGTCAGTGGGTTGACCCATGACCCAACCCAACCCAATTTTTTTGGGTCGGGTCATTTTCACATTCGGGTGGCTAAAATATGAGACCCTAACCCTGTCTTTTCGGGTTGGGTTGGATCAACTTTTTGCCAGGTCTATTTGTGATATCTTTAGAGCTAGCAAATTTACCCACAATGTCTTAATCTTCCTTTTGAGCGAGAAAACATTCATCAACATTATCACATTTCCACCCCACAAGGAGCCCACCCATAACGCCCCATAGCACATCCCCGCCGTGTATTGGGAACATCTCCCGATGATGATATCATCGAGATTGGTACTATCATCGGGAGATGTTTCCAATACACAGCAGGCATATGCTGTGGGGCAGAGATGTGAACACTTCATCAACTACTAAAAGGTTAACTATTCAAGTTAAAGCTATCAATGGGTCAGGTCTGGTTAGGGCCGGATAGGGTACGATGTACCAGTTGGGAACAAATTATTAAGCGGTTTCATATGATAGAACCAGAACCGTCCCAATTATTAATTAGGACAATTTAGTGGTGCAAATAAATGGGATCACGATCTTATATTTGTTGGATTAATTTGGATCACCCTCTATAGGATTTTTGGATCACCCTTATCTGATCTGACCTATATATGTATATATTTATAAACATATTTACTTATAAAAAGCATGTATATATTAATATATTTATTAGCATATTTATTTATAAATATGATTATATTGCTTTTTCTGTAATTTTTTGTGATATCCGATCGAATCTTCCGATTGAATCAAATCTCGGATGTATGATATTAAATCGGATTCAGATAATGTCCTGATTCAAATCCAATCCAATCTATTTGCACCCTTAGGACAATTGGGTGTTAACTGATTAGACCCAGTTATACTTGAGATCTATAACTATCTAAAATAATAATAGTTAAAACTTTATTTATGTTTATAGAATCTTAATAAAAATGACAGTAAAATAACAAACTTTTGTATATTGATAAAACATGTGTTTTTAACCAAAATTATCTTACATGCTACATAGCAAAAGTTTATCCTTTTGAATATAAAATATAACAAAAATTACAAAACCTTTATGTTGTATGATTTCAGAACAATAAGAACCGATCCTCTGACCCAATTATTAATTAGGATGAAATCACAGAACCGGAAACAGCATAATTGGATTTGATGGGTTGTTTTGTTTTGATATAACATACCCATTGACAGCCCTAACTCGAATTTGGATCTCCTCCCAATAAAAATCTGTTCCAACACTTTCCAAACATGATCCGTGTCTGCAAATCTCATGCAATTTATATACAGATCATGTTGGGAGAAGATAGTATATAAATTTTCAACCTGAAAATTGAGCACCTTTCTATACGGGTCTTCATTATATGGTTTAAACCGTAAAACTGAATCGAATCAAATTGAATTTGTGGTTTGATTTGATTTGATATATATATATATACTAAAAACCATACTAAACTGTAATAAAATGGATTGGTCTGGTTTGACTTTTATACTAAATATAATTATCGATTTGGTCTGAGATCTTCTCCAAACCGAACCATAAACACCGCTATACCTTTTTATTTGCAAAAAGAGGTTAGTTATAATGCACGCAAAAAGAGGTTAGTTATAATGCACCTTTCTATTTTCTGCTCATGAAAACACGAGAAACGTTTCTGTAAAATATTACCAAAACACCTCGTATGCGCCTTCTTCCTTGTTAGTTTGTATATATAATTGATACGCTTGTCAACTGTTCAATTTTTGTTCACGTCTCTTCTGTAAAGAACTCTGAAACTTCCTAGCTGGAGAATTGTTTGGACATATTCACACAATGATCTGAATCAATTTTCAAAACAGTGCTTAGAGGGACTTAGGTGGAAGACCCAGTGAGGTCACTCTGATGCTTAAGTCAGTATTCTGTGTGTTTGCGAGTTAAGTATGAATGCTACAGAGCTTGGATGCAAATAATCGTGCATACCTTTGCCTTAAGGATCGATGCCCTTATATAGTTGAGTAGTCGTGAATCTTACGAAAAGGCTCTAGGATCTGTGGGTTGCATAGATAAGATTCATTCAATTTTAGAATGAGAGCAATGTGCCAGTTGATAAGGTTTATCACTTTCCTCCGATTCTGGCGGAGTGAGGATGAACATTGTTATTAAATGTTGCGATCCCGGGAAATTCGGAGTTCGTTGGGGAAGCTTCTGGAGTCGATACGTAGCACTTCGGTTCTTTGGCCCCAAACTGGTATTTCGGTTCTTTGGTCCCGAACTGGCATTCAGTTCTTTGGCCCTGAACTAGCAATTTGGTTCTCTGGCCCCAAACTAAATTGGGTGCCAAGGTGCCTTTATGCCAAACTAAATTGGGAGCTCGGGAGCTCCCGAACTGTTGACAAGACTCCGTTGCTAAGTTGTCGTCCTACCGGCTGATCGCATCTACGTGTACCTCGGTCGCTAGATCAGGCCAAATCGCCCCTCATCACAATCAATTTCGTCTTTTCCAAGTAAACAACTTTGACTTTTCCATATATACTGATTAAGTGACAGAGAGCTCCGGAGATTTCTGTTGGCGGTACATCTCCAATGATAATGATCTCGTTTATGTCTCGTCTAAATAAGCCAGAAACTTCCTTGATAACTAAAATCTTTTGAGCTTATTATATGTTGATGGAGGATCTATGACGCTTCTAATTCTGTTTAAGGCCATGGTTGATCCGAACGGTCAGACCGTTTGGCCCAGAAACTGTGCTGTTGACTTGGTCAGTGAGTGATTCAGGTGGTCAAACGGTCAATACAGACAACAGTTTTAATTAACTGTTTTTTATTTTAATTAATTTTTTAACTTTTATTTTTTTAAATTGCAACAGTCATTCATTTCAATTCAGATGGTTGAACCACTGATTCAGAAACCAATGGCTAAATCGGTTCGGTCGGTTTTTAAAACATTATTTTCAAACAATTGTGGAGTTTCTGTGGGTGGTGATCTTCCGATCCTTTTGTCTTTTTTTTTTGTTTTTATTCATATAATATTTTGTTTTTATCATTTTGAACCACATGAGCAGTCACAACAGTCAAATTGTTGTAATATTAGATTCTTCTCCTTTTTGGGTTACCTGACGCGTCAGTCAATATTGTTAAATTTAGGTCGATTTATGAAAATATAATATAACACTCGTACAACTATGAATCTATTCCATTCGATTCCGTCAAATTGGATTTACAGTTGTAACTAGGACAAATGGATCAATGTTTCAAAATCGGACCGGACCGGATGGTTGGACTAGAAAAAACAGGAATCAGTCATTTGATTGGTTCCGTTTCACCTTAGAATTGTCTTTTGGTTAAAAACTGTTGATTTGGTCAGTAAATCGCTAATTCGAGTGGTCAAACCATTCGAACCATCAATTCGGACAATGATTTTTGACCGTTTTTATTTGTTTTAATTTGCTTACTTTTTTTGTCAGAACAAGTCATTCATTCGATTCGAACGATTGGACCATTCAACCTGGGAACCAGACTCCTAAACAGTTCATTGTCCGGTCAGGTTTTAAAATCCTTGAAATGGATACATTTTATGACCTTTTTTTGGTATTATATAATTTACATTACTAGGGATTAAGCGGATGGAGATATTTTATTTATTAAAAAAAAAAACTGTCTACGTATTATACTTCTACTTTGTGGTATTAGTTTCAGAAAAAAAAAAGCATAAGATTCTTTTGTAGATTTTAGACCTATTAGTCTATGCAATTTTTGTTATAAAGCGTTGGTTAAGATTCTCTAAAATTATTTCTCTAGAGCAGTACCTCTATCAATATATTTTGTTCATGAAATGCAATATCAAAGTTATTTTTAATTAATAATAATAATAATTTAATTCATTGATACTATTTAATATCCAACTAATATAAATCTTATGGATAGGATTCAATTTGAATTCAAACATAAACAAATAAAATTTGAATATATGTACCCATATCCAATTCGATTGTATCCATTTGAGGCAAAATTCAAAGTATCGATATGTATTGGTCGATACGTATCGTGTCGGGAGCTTCCCAATACACTCCTGCAGGGATTATATTGGATCAGACCATGGTTCAGAGGGTAATTGGGACTTAACCGACCCCTCTAAACTGGTTTTGGAAAAAAAAAAAAAAGCAAAAACATAAAAAAAAGCACTGACAGAGGCCAATATACACTTTGAACCTTGATTTGAGGCCTTACTAAAACTTTGGAGATGAATCTCTTTTAAAAATCACAAGAGGGTAAAACTTAAATGATACAGTTTCCTAGTTAAGCTGGCCATGTAGATGGTGGATTATATTATTAAACCAGCTTAATTACAATGCATATGACATAAAACTCTCTATCACCAATGCAAATATAATATTTACAACAAAAACAACTAATTAGGCTGCGTTTGGAAATGATGCAAATGGAGTGTAAATCCCGGTTAAGGGTAAATTTGCACTCTGGTTCACTTTTGCCTATGTTTGACAACATTATATTTATGCATTGACAAGAAAACACATTTTCTAATGCACATTTATATTGATAATATGATGTAAAAGTACATCAATAAAAAGAAGTAAATTTGCATTCAAGTAGCCTTTTGATAAAAAAAGTCATATGCTTTATTGGAATTCGTGTTTGCATCTATTATAGCTAAACATCTGTTTAGTAAGAAAGTAAATTTATCAGTGCAAAACTAACCCAACTTTGTAATTTATATGAACTGTTTTACACTCCACATATTTGCATCATTTCCAAACACAGCCTTAAAAAGTGGAGGATGGTGGAGAAAATAAAGTTCAGACCATTAGCTTTGAAAGAACTTTCTGAAATAGTTCTTCATGAAGATAGTGAAGAGGGCCTTGTAGCCTGCCTCGGTGGGATGGAAACTATCCCAAAATAAGTACTTCGAGGCATTTTTACATGTAAAAGGGGATAAATCATTGCACAGTATCGTTGCTTCTATCTTCCCTGTACCACAACATCCTTTGCTTATCTCTTCAAACCCTGTAAAACAAAACCAATGTCAAAGTCAAGGTTCCAAATTTTGTCCTGTATTAGCCAATATGTATTGTATCGGAGCCTTCCCGATAATGTCCCTACAGGGGGTGTATCGAGTCAGGCCATGGTTTAAAGAGTAACCGGGACTTAAACCGACCCCTATAAACCGATTTATATATATATATATATATTTGATATTAAAGGTGCCAAATTCTAATTAAAAGGGTGTTAACGTATAGAAAACATGCATGCAGTGTATGAAATATTGTGAAGATTTTGGATCTAAATTGATCTTGATCAGTATAGTACATGAGAACAAATATCAGGAATGAGAATATATTGTAAATCTGAGTATCAGGAATGAGAATATATTGTGAATCTGAGTATCAGGAATGAGAATATATTGCGAATCCAAGTTTGAAGAGATCTTAGGCTGCATTTGGCATTCCTTATTTTAAGGACTTAATGTTTATAGCTTAAATGGATAAGCACAAGGTAAAACACTGGAAGAATCTTGATAATATTTGAGACAATTTATTCATTTTAAAGCACTAATTAACAAATAATCAGAAGGTTAATTTAGATATTTTAAAAATTTCAAAGGGTCAATTGTCATATAAAATATGAGTTTGAGGGCATTTCTGGCATTTAAAATGAAATCTTAAAGTATTAAAATGTGATGCCCACTCTATTGCTTTAAATGGAGAAGCCAAATAAAAGATGATGGAGAAACTAAATTGGATGTGCCAAACAGTTTCAATCCAGCATTAATTTGTCTCCATAAATGCAAAAAGCACAAAAATCCCATCGGAGAAGCACTCCCAACGTGACCTTAGTGCAAGAAAATGCTAAAGGTTAAGTCTATATGATTAATACATCATTAGATCATACAAAAGATTAAAAAGAAGGTGATGATGACGATGATGATGATGATTTTAAGTCTTTGATGATCAAAATATCAATAATGAATATGCATGATTTCATACTCACAAAACCATCCTCACATTATTCTCAGTTTTTCACAGTTGTGCGATGGAAATATCTCTATACTTGTGTATTTTTATTCGAGGGAAGATATTTCTAATGCATAGTTGCAAGGGGCTGTGAAGATAGTAAGTGAAGATTTTGTGAGGATGAAATTCGAAATCCATATATGAGATTGATAATTAGGAGAATGACAGATCAGTCCAGGTCAGAATTTTGTAGCCCCACCCTACCGGGGAGTGCATCCTGACCATAAATTAATGCCAAATTTACGGGCAGAATGCTGTTTATAGGGGGGCTACTAATAGACTATGAGGAGCTGTCATTCAGAATTCTGCATTGGTTTCAGAGTACTTAACCCTTGATAATTACCATAATCTTGAGGCCTTTGAATGATGTCAAGTAAAGAAGAGTAGACATCAATATACACAAGGGTTGAATGTGATAGCTTGTTAGTGAGAGAGATTAATTCAGAAGATAGCTTAGCGTTGAACATCTCAKCTGCTTGGTTCAAATTGTCTACGCAGTCTTTGTGTTTTCCTCCAGCRAGGGTTCTCTGAGATGGAACACATCCAATGGGTGGAATGTTGAATACACCAATTCTTCTTGCCCCAAGGCCATACAGTTCCTGTGAAATACATACTTTTATCATTTATTTATTTTCAAGGAAATATTTGTGTTCTTGATCATTTTTTTTTTTTACAAAAAGAAGAAAAAAAGAAGAAGAATAGAAATTAGCTAGAAATACCTGTAGGAAAGTAGAAGCAAATTGAAGCAAGAGATCGGTGAAGGCAGAGACATCATAATTTGGTCTCCGGAATGGTGCAAAAAAGTAGTTAATGGTAACGTCGTTGCTCCCTACACACATAATGTATATGCTCTCGGACAGTATGGTTGCTGTTCTCTCCTCTCCCACTGCTTCCTTTAATTTTCCAATATATTCCTTGAACAATTTCAACTGTTTCGATAATGATATGGCCGTCTGTGTGTGAGAGAGAGAGAAAGAGAGAGGCGTAAATTTGACAGAGTAACTTTGAAAATATCAGTAGATGAAAGAAACACAAAAATAAGAAAGGATTAATTGATTTGTACCTCTATTTGAGATGTGAGAGGATCATATCCAGCACCACCCGAAGCAAAGTTTACGCCGGTAATAAGATCTTGAGTTTGTAAGTCGGGGTCGAGATAAGGTGGCAAAAGCTCCTTCACTCCAAATCCTTCAGCTGGAAAAAAGAAATTAAATAAACTCAATGAGACTCAATCTCAAAGAATCATTCAACCTAAAAGCTTAAACTGTTAGGTGAAGATTGATATTCTCTAACAGGCCCCCTCAAACACAAAACCCCATTGAGCTTGAAATGTGAATAAGCATAGGCCCATTCATACCTTGTGCTGAAACTTATTTAATTATAACGGGGATAGAACACTATACCACTTAGTCAAAATGACTCTGATATCATCTCAAAGAACCATTTAACCTAAAAGCTTAAACTATTAGATAAGATCCTTGAATAGATTGATATTCTCTTAACACTCAAGCCCAGAAATCAATAAGTCAAGGTTGGTACTGACCAATGTTTAAAACAACAGGGTCCGTCATTGAATGGGTCTCCAACAGATTGGTCATGTCACACTAATAGCATCTCTCTCTCTCTACACGCACACAACGCACACAGAGGAGTGGGATGGGGTGGGGTGAGTAAGTACCTAAGAAGTCGGAGGGAACCTTTCCATTGCTAAACCTTCCAGTGGGTATCCCTCCTACGAAGTCCCTCCCGTAAGGAGAGAAATTGCACTTGGCCAACGAGACTATGTAGTTGTTGTTGCCTGTATCCATAATCGAATCTCCAAACACTAGCAGAGCCGGGACTGTCTCATTCTTGGGTTGGAGTTGGACGATATGGAGACTTAGAGAGTAAGTAACCATAGACAAAACAATGATTACTGTAGCAGACGAAACAAGACCAAATTCCGGGGAGATGATCTGTGCCATGATTTTTTGCAAAAATTGTTGATTGATTTTATCTTTGTACAAATATATATTATATTGGAGAAAGGAAAGAGAATTTTTAGTAGTTGGGATATGAGATATTAAAGGAAAGGTTATTAGATTACCTTGTTAATACGTTAATGGCGATTTTGACCATTTGTAAGGAAATGAATACGTCTGGTAGAAGTTTGAGTTGGATTGCAGATTTTCCTTTTGGTTTCTCTGCGCCTGTTTGGGAGGGGTCCGTAGGAAAACCAATAAGTTAAGTTTTATGAAAATGTGGAAAGCCAAATCAACTTCTGAATGCCGTTTTAACAACTGTAACTGTAACATAACCTAATCAGCTTCTGTATGTGTAGGAAATGCAAAAGGCCTCCCAAACGGGGCCTAGAGGAAACGACGGTACTGCTCAGCTCGACATTTGTGAGACTGTGACAGATGGGTCGTATTTGTAGAAGCAAAACCGTCTACCCAGATCTCATGGCATGGGCGGAAAATTGACAAGGAAGATTTTAGGTGATTTATTATTGACCTGAAAATTGAGGTAGTGAGTTTACTTTTTTTTCAAAATTTAAGCACTGATGAACATAGTTATTTTTTTTTTTTTCAAAATTTATCAGCCTTAGGCTTAATTTGGAAGGAGTACAAATGCAAATTAAATATGTAGAGTGTAAAATCTTGTATTTTGTATGTATTTATACTGTATTCTTTCCAAATTAAGTTTTAGTGGTGTTTTAGTCAAAAAAACAAAAAAGAAAGAGGAAATTAAAGAAAATTTCGACATTCTCCCCATGTATCCCCAACATGTCACTTTGGATTGTGTTCCAAAAAAATTCTAAAAGGAAAATTTTCATATGATTTTGTGTCCATTTCATTTTTCTATGATGGCGGTGGAAAGCATTAAAAACAAAGGAAATTTTTAAACAAAAAAATAAATAAAGCTTTAGTGATTACCAGTTTTTGCTAGCCCAAAAAGAAAAAGGGTCGTTTAGAAAATACCCATAACTGGGTAAGTTTTGCTAATTAATGGATAAAAGAAATTCCCATTTATCATTTATCAGCAAAAGCCAAGGAATGTGTGATTGACTTTGCAGACAACAAATGGCAATGTGTGATCTAGTATTTATGATTTCATTCAAAAATCTCTTCAATGAGTTAACAACGTGGTTATGGCTTCCACCCCCCAATTAATTCATAGTTGACGAAGTTGGGTGCAAATTTTGCATAGAAGTTTGGATCTAGATTATGGCCGGACAAGAGTGGAGATTTGCAGGGAATCATTCTATGAGAGAGAGAGAGAGAACAGATAAGAACAAAATAGGCAGTTGAACACATCAAAGAAATGTTTAAACTCGATCTTGATGATCTTCAATGCTACTATTCGAAGGTGAGTGATCTGGAAAAAGAAATTGATAACCTGAATAAGAAAAGGAACATGGAGCTTGAATTACAACTTTCATATAATTTGACAAACAGAATTCAGAAAATGAATAAATTCTCTCTGCAATATGAAACGATTGAGTATACATGTATATATAGTTTTACAATCTCAGTGACACACCAGTTGTCGACTTGCCTTCCGCGTGGCAAGATTAGTTATCATGGACTGGTATCGGCTAACACCCCCTTTAAGTTGGAGCATGGATAATGCCCAACTTGCCAAGAAGAAAATGGAACTGGTCAGCCCCAAGGGCTTTAATCTACAGATCAGCAGGTTGTGATATGGTGGGGACATGACAAAGTGCTATAGCCTTGGATTGAACATGAAATACCTGGTTGGTGCATTCATGAAATACCTGGTTGGTGGCAATGTAAATTGCTACTTGGCTTTCACAGTATAGACTAATTGGCTGAGAGCAAGGTAGACCAAGGTCATGAAGAACATACTGTAACCATAAGACTTCACTGGTGGTAAGGGCCATGGTGCAGTATGCCTTTGTAGAAAACCGAGCAACAGTGACTTGTTTCTTTGTTTTTCACGAAATGAGTGAGTGACCCAGCATAGTGACATAATCAGTTGTTGGTCTTCTGGTGGTGGGGCAAGAGGCCCAATCAGAATCACAATATGCCCTTAATGTAAGATCATTTTGAACAGGAAAAAATATACCATGATGAGGGGCTCCCTTTATGTATCGAATGACATATTTGACAGCTTGCATGTGCTCTTCACATGGAGCACTAAGGTATTGAGTGAGAACATGAACAAGGTAGCTTAATTCAGGCCAAGTGATAGTCAAGTAAACAAGTCTTCTATATTGAGTGGCATCAGCAAGTGGTGGACTTGAGTCATCAATGAAGTGACGTTGTTGTTCCATAGGGTGGGAGACTAGTTTGCATTTAGTCATGCCTGTTTCACTATGATATCAGTAGCATACTTGTGTTGATTGACACATTCCAGAAGAAGTCCTTGTGATCTCTAGTCCAAGGAAATAATGAAAATGGCCCATGTCTTTAAGCCAAAAACATCCATCAAGATATGACTTTAGAGCTTGAATTCGTGAAAGAACATTACTAGTAATGGCCACAAAGGAGTCTCCTTGATTTGATGTAAAAAGAGAGTAATCCGCAATAAACTATACAAATCCAATCCCTTTAAGGTAGATGCAAACTTTTCAAACCAGCAATGAGAAACCTACTTTATGCCATGTAATGACTTTTATAACTTGCAGACTTTGTTCTTCTCTTGCTTGGAAAATCTCGGAGGAATGGCCATATAAATTTCTTCGAATAAGTCCCCATGTAGAAATGCATTGTTGACATCAAGTTAGTGTAGTTCCCATCCTCATACAACAGTTATAGACAGTATGCACCGAAGAGTAACAAGTTTGGCTATGGGTGCATAAGTATCATGATAATCATAACCTTCAATTTGCATGTAGCCTTTGGCTACAAGGCACGCCTTATAGCGTTCGATTGTGTCATCAGCATTATACTTGATTTTGTACACCCATCTACAACCAATTGGGTGCTTGTCAGGTGGGAGGTCAACAATAGACTATGTGTTGTTTTGTTCCAAAGCAGCAATTTCTTCTTGCATGGCACGACACCAATTTGAGTCATGAGAAGCCTGGCTATATGAGGTAGGTTACAAATGGTCTTGCAGGCCAGAGATGGGGAGGGAAGTAGGTCCATGGCAGATGTAGTCACGGAAATGAACTGGTGGGCATTGAATCCATTGAGGTCTAGGCGGAGAAGTGGATTGGTGATTTAATGGATTTGATGTTGCGGATAGCCTAGACTTAATTGTGTCGATCTCATTAATGATAGGCCCATGTTCAACAGTTTGATCTGGCTCACCTTGAGCTGGCCCATGGTTGAGTACATTATCCCTATGGGGAGTATAAATGAAGTTAGGCCCGTTATTGTCATGAACAAAAGGATTAAGGCCATAGTCATGTTGAGGAAAATGAACTACAATATAAGAACCAAGTCAAGGTTCTTGGTTTGCTGTTTGGGAATTATAAGGAAATATCTTCTCATAAAAGGTGGCATCCCATGAAATAAATAGATGTCCTGTAGTCAAGTTATATACCCAGTACCCCTTCTGGCCATATGGGTAACCAACAAACAAGCAACCGGCTGCTCTAGGGGCAAACATGTTACTGAAAATGGGACGTTCTTGGGCATAACACAAACACCCAAATGTAAGAAGATGGTCATATGTAGGTGGTCTACCAAATAATAGCTCAAAAGGGGTTTTGCCATTCAAGGGTTTGGGTGAAAGGTAATTGAGTATATATGTAGCAGTTAGCACACACTCTCCCCAAAACAAAACAAGTAAGGAAGCATGAAATTGAAGTGCTTGAGCAACCTCTAGAAGGTGATGGCGCTTCCTTTCAACAATTCCATTTTGTTGGGGGGAATCAACACAAGAGTGTTGTTGAATGATTCCATTGGAAGAGAAATTTGTTGTAATGGGCCAGACAAAAATTCCTTTCCATTGTCTAACCAAACAGCCTTGATTCTTCAATCAAATTGGACATGAACCATGTTGTAAAATGACATAAGTAAATGATAAGTTTCTAATTTATGCTTCAAGAGATAAATCCAGGTGCAACGGCTGAAATCATCTACAATGGTGAGAAAGAACCTAGCACCAGAGATCGAAGGAACACAATATGCTCCCCATATATCACAATGTATGAGATCAAAAGGTGTTGAGGCCCGTGTAGAGCTTATTGGAAATGAGACACGTGCATGCTCTTCCCGTTCACATGCATCACGAGCATCCCTTAATTGACATGAGAAATGTCCATCAAGACAAGCTGATAATTGTTGTGTAGAGGCTTGACCGAGGCGATTGTGCCATAACAGGTGTCCTCCATTATCAGTGCAAGAAGACAAGACAACAAAAGACGTGTGGTGAGGTAGCTACAAGTAGTATATGTCATTGTGCAACTTTCCTTTACTAATCACAGTGTAAGAGACTAGGTCTTGTATCACACAACTTTCATAACAGAAAAATACAAGGCACATTGATGAATCGATTTTGGGTGATGTATCAATCTTTTGGCTAAGTACCTCATCATTTGATCTGAGTTGGGGGCAGATTAGGTGACGAGCTAACTGGGCCAAGCTAGGCAGGTTAGGTGACGAGCTGACCAGAGGGTCGAGCTGCCTATTAGTTGCTGAGCTGACCAGAGTGCTGAGCTGCCCATTGGGTGCCGAGCTGACCAAAGTGCCGAGCTAGCTGGTGGCGAGCTAGATTGATTGTTGAGCTTCATAGTTCTTCAGAGACCTGCAAGGAATCAATGCCAAAGGACCCGCGGTGGCTAACCCGGCGAGGTCACTCCGATGCTTAAGTCAGTACTCTCATAGTAGACTGCGATGCTTAACCTTTATATAGGCATTATTTGGCGTGGGCTTCACGCACCATATCTGAGGTTTCTGAGAAGTCGTCTAAATTGCCTGAGATTCCCTGAGGTAACTGCCATGCATGTTGACCACCCTCCGGATCGTTCGGCACATGGGCCAACTTCCAAGGATCGTGGGAGTGTTTGGAT